TATAATTCCATCTGCAAAAAAAATTCTAGAAAATGTCAACCCATCTACTGACAAAAAACAAATTGAGATTGGCACATGGCTCACACCTGGAATTCCAGCCCTTTGGGAGGCTGAGCCAGGAGGATCTCTAAAGGATAAGATTTCAAAACCAGCCTGGGCAACATATTGAGATGCGATCTCTACAAACAAATAAAAAACAACTAAAAAAGAAAACAGATCTGTCAGGGAGAGGAATTGCAAAGGAGGACAAGGAAACTTCTGGAACAGTGGGTGTATGTTCATTATTTTGATAGTGGGGACGGTCTTAGCAGTTGTGCTAAGACCTATAAAACTATAAATGTTCCATATTTATAGCTTATTGTATGTCAATTATTCCTGAATAAAGCCATCCACAGAGAAGGGAAAATGCAGCCATTCTTACAGGCTTTGCCTTCTCTTGACAAATGGGAGACGTCACTGCTGGTCATCCCTTCTCACCAGTGCTGAAACACTGCCACTCTCTTTGTTGGTAAAAAGTTACAGGACTGTATTTACACATTTCTCCCCAATTCTGCCTCTCCTAATCTAGACAGTCATATCCTTAGTCTGGATTACTTTGGTCGCCTCTGTAAGCTCTCCTGTTTCTGGAGTTGCTTCCCTTCTTCTACTCTGCAATGGCTCCCCATCTCACTCCACATCCAAACCTACTACTTTGTATTCTAACATGGCACCCATTTACTTGTCCCTCTGTCTTCATTTCTTTTCCTCTCTTCTCATTCTATTCCATCCACACTTGCTTCTGAAACATCCCAGTCATGTTCTGTCTTTCGGCCTTTGTGCTCCCACTTCAAATTTCTCAATGGCTCATTCTCTCCTAGCAATCTGCATAAATGTTACCTGCTAAATGAGGCCCTCCTATCTAAAACTGTAAGATTACCCCCACCCCTTGTTACACAATCTACTTTTATTTTCTATTTTCCCTTGCTAGAATGGGAGAGTGATGAGGGCAGGGATTTTTGTCTGTTTTGATTACTGTTACATGCTCAGCAGCTAGATAACTGCCTAGCACACAGTAGACATTTACTGTTAAATGAATAAATAATTGAATAGGCACCAAAAAAAAAGTAACTTTGTAGACCAAGTAAGTTTTTTTCCTCCCCTTTGGTCTTCTTGTGAACCTTCTTGGCTCTTCATGAGAGACCTTATTGTTAAATGAATAAATAATTGAATGGGCTACCCAAAAAAATGTGACTTAGAAGGCCAAACAAGTTTTACTGAACAGTATAAGTGACTTCAAAAATCACTGACAAGGCAAAGCTAGGTCAAATAAGCTTTGAGACTTTAGACAGGGATGCTGGGAAGCTAAGATAACATTAAACATCACAGCGTTTGGATGAATACTCCAAAGCTCCAAGCTGTAACTATAAACTAGCTTTTCATGGTCTCAGCGATGAGCTGAGAAATATAGAGCAACTTATGTCAAAATAGAGATTCAAGAATTATGGGAACAAATTTCCATCCTTAAGAGGATGCAATTTTTCCCAAATCAAAGACATGAATGCAAATCCTAGAATTCCAAGAACACTTTTGCAAAGTCTCTAATTTCTAGCCTATCACATACTCAACAGGAGACATGGATTGGTCTCTCTTCCTTTTGTGAGACTTCCTGGCTATGTATGGGAGACCTGGAAAATAATGTCAATAATACGCAATACTTGACACTAGTTTAAAATCTTAAGAATTGCTTTTCTAGAAAGACAATTTTACAGAAAATGTTTCCTTCCAAACAAAGAAACAAAAATGGTAGCCAGTAGTTACTGTTGATCTAAGTGATGTTTCTGAAGGTGTTCCAGTCAAAAAACAAGGTGCTGGACCATATTAAACATTGGGTTTTTAATGCCTTCCCCGCCAAAGTTCGTTTTTTATAGCTAGGAGTAACAAGCAATTACCAGCAAAGCTGGAATAGGAAAAATCAAATATTCTGCCTATTTACATATGGTTCCCCGAAGCCATTCCTGATTAAAAATTGTACCATTTCAATCTTCCTACTGGAGATATCTATTAACTAGAACTGCATGTGAAAGCCAATGAATTTAGTATATAATTACACGTATCCTATACAAATTACTTCTCAATGACCTCTACTCATGAAAATAAACCGAAGAGGGATGATTGGCTCATTATAAATCTACAAGAAGATTTCCCTGGGAAAAGGTATTGAGAGCAGAGTCTTGAAAGATCTTAAGCTTCAATTGAATTTAATTTCAGCAGGAAGCAATCACTTCTGTATCTGAATTCCCAGTGCATTTTAAGTGAACCTCTCCAGTGGCAAGGAACTCTCTCCAACTTAAATCCCTACTCTTGTCACTAAGTAACAATGTGACCTTGGGCAAGCCACTTCCCTTCTCGGTGTTTTCATTTATAAAATGAGAGGCTAGAATCAAGTGATTTCAAAAGTATCTTTCAGACCTAATGTTTTGTCATTTCATAATTATAATCATGAGAGCCCACCTAACCTTATCGACTCTCTCAAAGCAAAGAAAGGCATTGATTCACCTTTGGAGTTCCCATATGACATAAAACAGCTAATTGACAAACATGTTTAAGGACACAGCAAGTCCATCTTTGACACAGTTCTGCATCCTGCCAAGGATTCTAAGATCAGAGAACTAAACAGATATCATTTGTCACTTAGAAGACATGCACCCACCACAGAGTTTCAAGGCACCTGATTTGTAATCCATCCGACCCAGAACCACACACACAGCCAGACACCTACAGAAAGGTTCTGTTTCATCGAATTAGTTAATCTAATGCATTCCAATCATCTGAGAGTATGTGACAGAAGGCTGCAGCAGACGTGGGGGAAAGTAAAGCTGGAGAAAGGAGAACATCAGGACCTGCAAGAAAAAGCAAGGAGAACATCCCCTTAACCTTTCCAGAAGGTGGACATTTTAAAACCCAGATCCCTGAGGCAGGTACACTGCTGGGATAAGAAACACCTGCTCATAATGACAGAGCCTTACATGTTAAGATTCTGAAGCCTGGATATCTGTGCTCAAATCCTAACTCTGATAATTACTTGCTGCATTACCACGAACAAGTGAATCAACCTTCTATGACTCAGTTTCCTCAGCTGTAAAATGAGGATAGCAATTTACTACTTTGTTCTTTGGGTTGTTGGGAAGATAAAATGAGGTAATACATGCAAAGTGCTTATAACGGCATATAGCACATAGCAGATGCTCAATAAATGAGCATTCCCAGTATTGCTATCATTGTTAGAGTGCTAAGAATTTCTGGGGTTAAGAGAACAAAGGACTTTGCACCCTGCTGTTACAGATTCAGATTCTGCAGTTCCCTCTTTCAGGTGATGACTGCAAGTACCAACATTTCTATATTTATATATAATTTATATTTGTACACTTTATCAGTCTTAATTACTCCTGAGCATAGAATCTATTCATTAGACATTAAATTCCTTTCTGAAAGATATTCTAGGTTTCAAAAACTACTTGATCACCCACGCGAAGGGAGTACAATAGGACTATTAAACTGGAGGGCTCAGAGTAATTGGGAGCACAAAGACATCTTTGTAGAGCTTTGTACTATCACGTACCCGGCTTCGGGTTTGGAGAGTTGTCTCCTTAAGAAAGAAACTAACTCCATTGTTTGTTCACATCAGAGTTCTTGGATGTGATAGTTCTTAAATCCCTGGCAAGTCCTTATTAAAGATCAGAGGATCTCGGTTCTTTCCATTAGGACAGCATTAAATCCCTTCAAGCAATTATCTTAGGTCAGCATCATTATTTGAAATGCCAGCGAAAGTAGTGAAATTTCCAAACGCTAAACGAGTTCCTTGTTTTGGACTGAAGGCACAAGGTAAAGTTAGAAAAAATAGTAGTAGTCCTGAGGAAATTTTTGAGACTGGGAAATAGTAAGAAATTTAAAGAGTACTTTAAAGATTATTTTTTCTCTTAAATCTCTTTTCCAAAACAGCCATTTTGGTAAACAAAAAAACAAATAACAAACAAAACTCCAATCAAACAACTAGAGTAGTCGGAAAAGTTCCAGTCATTCTCTGATGGGATCTCTAGAATTCTGGTTTTCTAAACATCTTTCAGTGAACCAGCAGGAGAGGTAACACTATGTCTTGTATTCCTTTGCTAAATAATCAGGCACAAAAGAAAGTCAACAGTGGTCATGCTCTCCTCGATCTGTTCAACTACCATTTTTGTAATTCTGTTCTAAGGAATAATGAGAGCCATAAACATACAGAAACAATAATTGAAGAAGGGGAATTTGGGTGGGCTACTGAGAGGCAGCCTATGATCTCTGTTCCAAGGGGATTATACGTCAGAAAATGCAAAAACAATTCTACCACAGCCACCCGACGAGGTCTAAAACTGCAGAACTGGGTAGAGGGCTAGGGAGTTTCCTGAAAATAGAGGACTGTCTGCTTCCAAAACCTACCTCAACTGCTTCTGGCAAGGAAGAACAGTAGCTACAAACTATATGAAGCCAAGAACAAGTCCATATTTGACAAATCATACCCATCAAGTTAGTGATGTCAACCATAATAAAATATTTTGGCAAGCCTGGAAATGTGCACCTGTGGGAACCTGGAAAGCTTTGACAGATTTTTGTTTTCCCAGCCCTTTATCAGCAAGTTAATTATAGCAACTGTACAATCTCCTCTGAGCTCTAGAGAAAGACAGTTGGCTGTATGAAACCAAGAGGCTGCTCTCCTGGGCACACAAGAGACAAATGACAGTAGTGCTTACGTGTGAAAATATTCTGAGTACGGTTTAACAATGAGCCAGCTAGCATGCCTAGATGAGAAAGAGGCATATTCTGCAGACATACAGTGTGACAAGACTAAAAAGGACACGTTACACACACACACGTGCATGCACACACACAGGCAAACATGCTCATGTATATGCATGTGTATCTCCAGAGCCTAAATGACTGGCCATATTATTACATACAGGGCTGTTTTTTCCCAGGACAGACTGTACCTTCACAGCTGTAACTGTACACTGCCACCGCTGACCTGTCCACCAGATTTTCATCATGATGCCAGCTCACTGCCATTTTCCCCATGCCAAAATAAGGTTCCTCTTTCAGGTATGGCATTTTCTGAGGATCCATGAAATTCAGCAAAGTTACGTTGTATGCTGCTCTGCTCTTAAGGTCCACTTCATCTTGTCCATCGTAGGATGACCCCATTCCAACCCTGGGGAAATCCGCAGACATACACAATGGCACAGCATCTTCATTAGCCTTCTCTTTGGCAGCGAGTTCTTCCAGAGCCTGGATGGTTTCTATCTGCAGGTAGTCATTGAGCTTGAGGAAGGTCTCACAAGCAGTGGCTATTTCAGCCTCAGTGTGTTTTATATCAGACCCTTTCACCGGCCAGGGGACTGTAAAGAGCCTGGTGTTCAGGTACTTGTAGGTGCAGCCCGGATTACCAATGAGGATGCGAGATACCGGAGTGAGCAGATCTTTGCCTTGGATCCTAACCAGGTCCCGAAATAAGCAGCCATGCTTGTGCAGTGTGAGAAAGGCCTCTTGAACCTCTTTATGGAGCTCCTCAGATACACTGCCAGCTTCTCGGAGAATTAGTTTAGGATATTTCAGTTGCCACTAAAACAAAACCAAAGCAAAAACAGACATTTATGGATAGACGTTCACAATTTTATTATTTCCAAAGGTATGTTTCTTTGTTAGCATTTGGGGAGTTGTGGGGGGACTACCTGGTGGTATTTCTAGGAAGATTCACATCTTCCTAGCCCAAAACAGAAAACCAAATAGAACAAATGTCATCAAACTCTACAGTCAAGATTTTCAAGTTCAAGCTCAAATTACTAACAATCTTTCATAAAAAAAATAAACAATCATTATGTGGGTCCTGATGCCCCAGGATTACTCTGTGACTACTTTTTCTCACCCTAAATCTCTTTCTAGCCTTTACCCCTCCAGGAAAAAAAAAACATTTTATTAACTGCTTATTATCTATAATATTTATTAAGTGCTTACTATGAACCAAATACTGCCATAAATTATTTGTGTGCATTAGCTCATTTTAACTTTATGCACAGCAGCATTATTATCTCCAGTTTACAGAGGAGACCACTGAAACACGGAGACATTAAACATTTTCCCAAAGTCACACGGCTAGTAAACGCTGGAGCTGGAATTTAAAGCCCCTAGGATCCAGAGTCCAGCTGGTTCCAGGGCATGAGTTCTTAAGTATAAGAATGCATTGTCTCTCAATCAATAACAAACTGGTTTCCGCCTAACACTTTCATGAAAAGAGAACTCACTTCTCTTCGGGAGTTAGACATTAAGTTCCACGAACACAAAAGCCATGGCAATGTTACTCATGTCCATAATATGAGTGCCCAGAATTTACTCAGTAAATAGTAAAGGAATGAATAAATGGAATTGTGGGGGATGAATGAGGTGTTATTACACTGAATTCTAGAAAGTTCTAATAATTCTACTGGTGTCACTGGCAGAGAGTAATATTAGCCAATTCCCTCCCCTAATACAGAATACATGGAATTATTCATGTAGGTTAGGACTACATTAGCTTCTCAGCCACCACTTTCCTTAGGCCTTAACATGTCAATCGGTGTTAAGCTGGAGTTTCCTGATTCTGTATAATGCAACTGATTTATTTTTAACCAAAGCACAGGATTTTATGTAAATGTAAATGTAAAATCACAGGATTTTACATTTACCCATGTAACGTTGGATCTGATCTGTTCCTTGCTAGTTTTAGGCTATTTTAAAGGAGTCAGACATGATCAACACATTAACCTGTCCTCCTTGTATTGTGCTGCCCACCATTGTTAAGACACCTTCCTTCTACATCTTCATTCATTAATTACCATTCATATGATAGGGTAAGACCAGTATTCTTCCATACACTGTTTTTCATGCAACATCTGTTTATTGAGAGCCTATCACCAGATGGAAATAAGGTCCCTGCTCTCACAAAGCTTTCTACCAAATCAAGTAAACAGATAAAGAAAAGCAACCTCAAATTGTGTTAAGTAAGAAGACAGAAACAAACCAGTAGGAAATATTATTAGAGCAGGAAGAATTCTCTAAGAAGACAGGATTTAAGCTCAGATCTTGAGGAAAAGAAGGCACCAGAAATATGACAAGCCGGAAAAAGGGCTTCCCAGAAAGAGAGACCAAAAAAGCCAAAGGCACTCAGGAAAAAGACCAGCCTATTCTAGGGACCAAAAAAAAAAAAAAGGTTGGTTTTACTAGAGCAAAAGAGCCAAATACACAGTGACATGTGACAAGGAGGCAGAGGATGGCAGAGGCCCGATCACACACAGCCCTGGGGGTAATGGTAAAGAATCTGGAACTAACTCTAGATGCACTGAAGGATTTCGAAAGGAGAAAAATAACTTGATTCACATTTTATAAAAATCGCTCTTAGTTATAACATCAGGCATGGATTGGAAAGAGGCAAATGTGAGCGTGGAATGTGCTATTACAATCATCTGGGAGAAAAGTGAAGACGATCTGGACTAAAATAGAGCCAGAGATAAGTGGACAGATAAAATGCATACTTTGTAGGCAGAACAAAAGGATACGCTTATGAATTAGATGAAAGGGATAAAAAAATGATAGAATGTTATTTTGAGACAGAGTTTCACTCTTATTGCCCAGGTTGGAGTGCAATGCTGCGATCTTGGCTTACCACAACCTCCGCCTCCCGGGTTCAAGCGATTCTCCTGTCTGAGCCTCCTGAGTAGCTGGGTTTACAGGCATGCACCACCACACCCAACTAATTTTGCATTTTTAATAGAGACAAGGTTTCTCCATGTTGGTCAGGAAAGAAGTTAAGGATACATTCTGGATTTAACGACTAAATAAATAATGTATTGTTTTGTGAAATAAGGAAAACTGAGGCAAAACAGAAATAGTAGAAGGAAGAAAAGGGGGAAATGAAGAGTTCACTCTGGATCTGCAGCCTTGAAGATACCTATGAAACCTCCAGATGAAAATAACAAGGGGGAACTGGATGTACACATCTGCAGCTCAGAAGAGAAAGTAAGGCAGAGGAACGTAATGTGAGAGTGATCAGCTCACAGCTGGGTTTTAAAGGCCTGGAAATGAATGAGATCACCTAGGGAAAAAGGAAAAATACCAAAAGGAGACCAAAGTTATTTTCTGAGTCACAGCAGAAGCCTCAACAAAGGAGAACCAGCAGAAAACCAGCAGAGTGTATTAATGCAGAAGCTAAAAGAGGAGAGCATCTGAAGAAGGATGGGGTAGTCAATTGTGTCAGCTGCCACTGAGAGGCCAAGTGAGATGAGGACAGATGAACAGGTAGATTCGACAGTGTGGAAATCACTGATGACAATGGCAAGAACAATCTCAGTAGAGTGGTGGGCGTGGAAGTCAGATTGGAGTAGATGAGGATGGAATGAAAGAGGAGGAACTAAGATGGCAGGTAGAGCTGTCTCTGAATGCTTCTTCCATGAAGGGGAGTAGAAAAATGGATCTTTTGATAAAGGAGAATGCTAGACAAAGGGATACTCTCTAACGACAGAAGACACTAGAGGACACTAGGGTTTCTCAGCACACTCATGAGAATGATACAAGAGAAAGAGGTTGATGATGCAGAAGAGAGAGAGCGAATAACCAAAGAAGCGGAGACCTTGAGTGTCTATAGCAGTAGCTCCCAAGTCGGGTATGCAGGGATTTGTCAGGTGATCCCGTAGAGTGGTAGGGCGCAGAGAAGAGATAGTAGAACTGCTTTATTTTTAATACAAAATGAAAGAAATTAAGCTTTATTAAAATATGTATGCATATATATCTATACATATACACAAATAAGTTTAATATGAATATTACTATAAAATAGACACATGTACCTGAGTACTACTACCAGCACCCTACCGGTGGTGTGCTGGAGTCACTCCACACCGGCTCATGAGTGCACTGTGTACATGTCTTTCCAACTGCACATTCAGTAACACCATGATGGTGGCTTGAAACTGTCCACGGTGAGAGTATTTACATTACAGAAATCAAAATACACTAAAAATCAAGGCTGGTTCTTTTCCCCTACAGACCACTTTTAAACATTTTCTAGGATGTCACTGCATGTGCTCAAAACTTGTCACTGATAAGAGTATGTGATCAAACACATTTGGATAGGAGAGAAGATACCTCTTACATTGGAATAGGCTAGAAGGAGAAAGAAGGTATAAATTCAGATAGGATGAGAAATTTAATAGTAGGCAGGTGAGTAAGTTCTAGGGTTTCTTTTGGAGGGGGTGGTGGTTAGAGAATGCTTTGACTTTCTCAGTGAAGTTAAGGTGAATCATTAGCTAAGAATGTATCCTGATCATTAGAGCTGTTTGCCAAATAGTTCTGGATTCCTCCCCTGCCACCCAGCTTTTTGGGTTCAGTGTGGAATTACACTTCCTGGCCTCCTCATGATGGATGAAACACAGGATTACTTCTCTCCAGTGAGAAATGATGGCCATCCCTCCCAGCCTGGACATGTCATTGCCAGTGCAAGACCCTCTCACAGTAGCCAGCTGGTGGCTGCTTGGATCTCTGAGCTACTTTAATGGATAGTGACTCTGTGCAAACCCACAAATGATACATAAAATGGCCCAGAAATATTATTGTGTGAAGCCATTGAGATTTGAGAGTTATCTGTTACTATAGCATAATCCAGCCTGTTCTGGCTGAGGCAGAGTGCAGGAGATATTGTAAAAGACATGCAGAAACTGGGAGGAAGTAAGCAAAAGAAAAATGAAATGTGTCAAGTCTGAACGTGGAAAAATGACTTTACTGGTAAGCATGGTAGGAATGCCCTGCTTCTCAAAATGTCTATCTGAGGTGTTGACCATGAACTGAAAGTGACAAAGAGAGGAGTCATGTGGCATATCACTATGCACTGTCATTGATACTGTCAGGGATCCATGTAGAATTTAGAGTTTCCATATTTCAGTTATCCCAATTGGAAAACAGAAACAGTGATATCGTACTTTCTATTTCCATAGCTCATAAAGAAAGCAATGCAATCCTGCAGGCAGAGACCAAACATTCTAGAGCCATAAGCAGTAACTCTAATTCTATCGCTCTACTGGTTATTTTCTTTTTTTCCTTTTTTTTTTGAGACGGAGTTTCGCTCTTGTTACCCAGGCTGGAGTGCAATGGCGCGATCTCGGCTCACCGCAACCTCCGCTCACCGCAACCTCCGCCTCCTGGGTTCAGGCAATTGTCCTGCCTCAGCCTCCTGAGTAGCTGGGATTACAGGCGTGAGCCACTGTGCCCGGCCCTCTACTGGTTATTTTCTAAGCAAGTCCCTGAGGCCTTAGCATACTCAAAGCAATGATGAAGAAGGTAATTTCTTCACACTGTCTTAACACCTCCAGTACTCTCTGAATGGTCCTCAGTATAAAACAATAGAGAAAAGTATAGTAATTCCCAAGAACTTCGTTTTTGAACACACTCCCCTCCGGGACTAAGAAAGGAATACTGAAATAATGCACTCATCTGCACAAATGCCTGCCCTCCCCCCACTGAAATCTTGCTGCTCTTGTCCAGCATATACAGACGGGGTCTCAGTACTGCATAAGATCTATTTAACACAGGGAAAT